GTAGAGAATAAACACTGAAAGGTCAATGGGATTGAGGGTGGTAGGTAATTTATCAGAAACGTTCGAGGGCTGAAGCGCCGCGTCTAAATACAAACCAATAGAGTTCGCTGTGTTGAAGTATTTTTAACAAAATCTACCAAACTCAGTTCTTAACCTTCACAATTGGCTTAACACAGTTGCATCGTAAAGATCCCCTTTTTATAACATAAACGTTTATTTGGTCAAAAAAGTAACTCAAGAGTGCAGCAAATTGGTGCATTTAAATGCCAAAATAGGCAATGGAGGGAGTTCTCACGAGTTATTAATGACATGTTTTGTATATGTGGTAGTATCAAGAGTGGGGAATGGAGGAGGAGGATGGTAACGCTTACTGCATCGAAGACGACCTCAGAAGTTAGACCAAGTTTAGAAATTCTTCTTCTGATCTCAAAGGCGAACAAAGAATGCACTGAGGTAGGATTTTAGCAACAATCCAGCATTGGAAGAAGAGGGACTCAGCTTATGCAGTAAATGACAACAACAATAATATGAATAAGTAGTCTTTTACCACAGCGTGCTGCAATGCAAATCACCGGTTTAGCTGTGCCTTGCGGGTGAGGCTGGAATCCGATTCAAACGCCGTGCTCGAAGATCCATTGTACCAGCCCTCAGATCGTTACGAGAACCACTTCGCCTTCTCCCCTAATATTATTCATTGTATCGTTTACTCAGATGATGGAGGTAGAGAGGTTACATGTGCAAAGATCAGATGGTTCCCTTGCATATTATTACCAGGATTAGAGAAAATTAACTCCCACCATGTGCCACAAAGGTTCGATTGACAAAAGCCAGTAGATTCAAATTGTAAATGACTCAGAATTTGGAAAAGATGCCAGCTTCTATTTCAAGAGGGCAAGACATTGTAATAAATGTGGAGTGGTGTTGTGTTTTGGACATTCCTGCTATGCACTTCGGTGATAAGTGGGACCAAAATGCTAAATTTAATCATCTTAACCAAAAAAGTCTAAGGCTTAGACAGGTTTTGCACTGATTCTTTTTAATTTCACATCGTTAAATCAGGTAACTACTTCAGTCAAATTGCTTCGAAACGCATGATTAGTTCAGTGAGGATAAGAGGTATTAGGTGATAGCCATTTGTACTGGATTTTAACTTGCTTTAGGCAGAGTAAAGACTGATCTTGGTTGGAGTCCATCCAGCTTAATTTGAGACCACAGTGCAGATTAGAAGGATGTTGTACAAACTAAGACTGGATTAGTCTCGCTTGGTAACCGACACCTTCCATCAGACTGATATAATATCTTGCTTTGCAGTTGGATCTCTTTACTTCAGCCATCACCGACATGCAAATCACAAGCAGTGCCCGTAGAAAAGTATGTATAGCACTAACATTGAACACGTCGTCGATTTACTGAGAGACAGACAAAACGGTGCCCTGATATTGACTTGCCACACTAGAAGATCGCAGCAACTAATTTTCCATCTAAGATATTTGCATCAAATCCCACGAATATTGAAATGTGATGATGATTATTTGTGGGTGCGTTCTCACACAAAATAACTTAAGCGTTACCGTAGGTGGTAGCGATTGGAATCAATGTTATGTGCAGAAATTTACGGCCTCTTGGAAGTCCCTCATTTGAGGATAAAGTGAAAAACTTGTCTTCATCACCGAAGCACCATACAGCCACACAACGATCGTGATCAAACACTATATGGCGCGTTATTACTATCAAATTAAGCACCCTC